AACCTAACTGTAAATCTACCACTGTAAGCAATGTAGTATTCAGCAGAGTGTAAAACCTGTATTTCATAAGGGTTCCAATGTCTGTGGTGGCAGAATTGATTCCAGTGGCGGTTTTTTTTAATGGTGTTCTGCAATGTACACCATTAACTGGGTATGTGCTAGTTACTGAAAGTCTTGGATGGAAGAAATCCCAGTGCTGTAGATTGTGCAGATCCCAATTCAAATAAATTGAAACATTTCTGGGTTGGTTCAAATCGGCAACAAAAGAACACCTACAATTCAGCACAAATGTAATGTTGGCTTTAAGCCATGTTGGGTTATTCAAAGGTTAGGTCATGCAAGACAGAAAGCCGTCGGTCAGTGCTTCAGTCTTTGTTGAGCTTGATACAGCTGTCCTTATCTTGGTAATTAGCCCTGATTGTGGAATTAAAATAAACCAGCTTTGACTCCCAATGCTGACTGCCATTAACTGACTAGGGATCCAATGCTGTCCTGCAAAGTCAAGTGCTGACCAGCAGCCATTGCCTTGGATCACATATTGAGAGGAAGGCAATATTCTGGATGGCAACCAAAACCCACCCAGATAACCGTCTTCCCATTAATAGCGCTGAGTATGAAATTGTGTGAAAGTATCATTCAGTAATTTTTCTTTGCCCTTTTAAACAGCACATGATCAAGTACAGATATCTACCGTTCACTCATGGGAAAAGGACGTACAAGGGGAAGGAGGATTCTACGAAAGCATTTGCCAGTTAGAAAAAGTGCTGCTTTGCACTCCTGGATTATCTTCTCCCCTTCCTCTTTACATGTAAACATTGGACAATAATCACAACCGTGACATGACTCTATGATTATCATGTTTGCTCCAGGCCTTTCTGAAGGGTACATTTTAGAAGGTGATTTAGTTTTGAGAGTTTTTTGGCACAGAGACATTGTGTTTATAATATGATATATATACGCAGACTTTTTGTCCTGACCATTTTGATTTAATTTATAGATGACTTCATTTAAATTTCCCTTTAATTGTATTTCTTTTGCCAGTTGCTTCAACTGTACATCCTCCTTTTCTCCTTTTTGTCATCTGGAAAGAAAGAATTAAAATATCAAATCAGTTCCATACTTGGGTAATTAGACTATTTGCTATGACTCCCCAAGTTACTGAGGCTTTTGGCAAGGAACTGTTGCAGTATTAAGATGCTACAATATCAAGTAGTTGGTGTTTAATGGTTGAGAATTGGATGGCTCTTTACTGTGTTTTCTGGGTTTAATCAAATTTTGGAAATAGTTTTTTTATATTGTGGCCTCTTGGAAGAGTTGTGGAGAAGCAATCGGAGGGGTTTGGAGAGAGTGAGGAAAGAGGTTTGCAAGAACACCGAAACACAGGCTTGCAACTTTTGAGTGCTGTGGATCCAAATAGCTTGAAGATGGAGATCAGGCATCCTTCCTGTCATTTTTAAATCCCAGAGTCAACTTTGAGGACATCGTCATCTATGTCCTGAGTCATGGCATTGTATTCCGAATTCATCAGGCTAGATGTTAATAATGCGAAACAAATAAAATTTTGATAAAAACTTTCTAATATGAACTCGATGCTGAGCTTTAAACTTTGGATTGCTACAAGGTACTGATAGATGCCAGAATTACAAATATTACACATTACAAGAATTTGCTTTGTTGTGCTGCTTCTTTGAAAAAAATCTGCTAAATCTCAACAGTTTTCATGATGTGAGGGAAGGGGTTATCTTTAAGATACAATGGAGCTCTCTTTACAGTACTTGCTAAGGCAAATAGCAAGCCTACTATGAATATTTGGAAGGGGAGAGGGAAAGATTGGTGGATTTTATTATAAGAGTGTGAGAGACAGACATATCTAAGAATGAAGTGGTAAGGGCAACAAGGGATAATGTTCCAGAACAGATCTGTAGACATTAAACCAGTTAAATCACTCATTGGAAAATATTACGTAGCAAAAGCTATAATTGGCAGTAATTTGGACCTCCAGTTCAAGTAAATGGAAAAATAGGCCCCTTGTATATTAAATATAGATTCACAGTGGGTAGCTAGATCATTATATATAATACAGGGGTGGAGATATGAAACAGTAGTGATGTGAAAGTGTGTAGATCTGTGATTGGATTATGCTATGGAAATGGAACTCCAGCTCCCCATTTTGCACTGTAGCTGCACTTATGCCAGCTGAGGCAGCATTTGGGAATGGTCCAGGCTTTGCACTCAGAGCCCCTGACTGGTGCTATCAGTGGAGCCCCAGCTGAAAATGAATATTGACTGCGACGCTTCACTTCTGGTCACGTAGCTGGTTGAGACTCTCATAAAGCCTGTCCACTTTGGGTAAGACACTGGAGACCTGATAGACCAGGTGAATCCTCAGCACAATTCAACACATTAAAATGATGTCAAATGGAAAAACTATTATTCACTGACCAGTGTGATTTTAAGCTCTCCATCCCTCATGACATCAATCAGTGTGGGTTAGTGTATCCTCGATGTGGTAATGCTGTGATTTATATAATTGAACTAACAAACCTCTCCCTCCAATCAGATCACAACCCAAAGTTTAAAAAGTTTGAATCAATGGTAGGTTCAACCTCATCACTGAAGGCTTGAAGACTGTAGGTTACTTTAAAGAAAACTAGTCAGCACAGTGTAGCAGCCCTTGCCCTTTAGGAAGTGTCTTGTCGCCTGCGTGAAACATATAACTAAGACCGACTTTACTTGTGATGCATGTTAGTTTAACCCAACTTATTTAAGAATAAGTTTAACTTTTCAGATGTAATTTAGCATATCCATAGAAAGGTACAGTACACGGCATCTAATTTTAAGGTGCAACTGTTCAATCACTGGGGAGGGTCGTGACAGTATAAATAATACGCTACAATGCAATATACTGTTTTTGTCTCAAGAACAGTTTGTAGGTTAGTGTAACCCATTGACTTCACATTACTCAGTAATGTAAGTCTCCAGTCTTTTTTTAAACTATGTTTCATTACAATTTTGTATTTAAAATACTTGAACTAGAGGGAGATTTAAGGTGGCATAATTAGGTTTTTCTGTATAATTTTTCTTTCACCTTTCATCCTGTTCACCCAACATGCAGGACAGAAGTGACATCCTTGATTCTAGGGCTGAGCTTGGAAGTTGGCAAGTCTAGCATTATAAAAAGCCCCATAACTTTGGGTATGCTAATCAGGGTTACCCCACATTCAGTTTGCATTTTTGTTTGCCATGGAGTGTATTTACCATATATAAATATATATTTAAATCACAGTTATGAGAGTGATATGCAGGAATTGATGTAATTGGAATAGGTGACAAGTAAATGCTAACACTAGTGCTAGTTTGTACCAACTCCTGCTGGACTTGTCCACCGTTTGCTTGATCTTTTGAAATAGGAGCCTACTTTACACTGTCACTGGTTCAGGTCACAGGATGGTTGGTGGAGGGAGGTGGTGGTAGCAGGGATAGCCAGGGTTCCTGATCAGTCGCATGATCCCTACCAAAAGTATGCACTTGTGAATACTTTATCAGACTCTTGTTATACTTTACAGACCAATCCCTCCCTCCTATCTGCACACAGCATTACAGATTTAATCTACACTGAATAGAAAAAATTACCACTGTGTGAAGGGCACCCTATGCAATTGTAACCTTGCAGGAGTCAGCACATCAGGGGCTAAAGAGACAGAACTAGAGGGGACCAAGGATATAACTACACTGAAAACAAAGCTGGAAACCTGGTGTGCTGCAATGCTCATATTTAACATTGTGCATTCACTAGGATTGCTTGCCATTGACAGCATCTGTTCTTCAAACTTTTCACCTCAGCAGGGCACAGGCGAGAGCGGCCTGTTAGGATACAAGTTGTAACTGTAGTGCAGTTGGATGTGGAGAGATTTTACAAACTACCCATTTTTCTTTTCCCTCAAGTGAAGCAGTTCCCAGTGTTGTGCTTGTACAGAGATTTTATTTTTTTAAGATTAACCATGGCTACTTGCTGCTTCACATTGTAAACAGTGCCCATAAGTGATGTTTATGTCAACTAGAACTTTAGTGCCAGAGCCTTGCAGCCTTTTATATTGTCTGGAACGAATAATCCCAGCTTCCTTTAATAGGAGGAGTCCCATCTTCTTTTGTCTTATTTAAATAAAAGCCTAGATTTTTTTTTCTGAACTTAACAGATGCATGTCTGAGTCCATGAGGGTGGAATTACCAGTCATTACAGATCTGTTCATTGGTGTTGGGAGTAAATGGAAATGAATTTAAACATTGCACAGAAGTTGTATTCTGCAACATTACTTTTTTTCTAGTTTAATGAGATTTTTGTTCCTGTAGTGCTGTCCCAGTGTGATGTAGGTGAGTTTAATGTCTTAAAATCAGATTAGAAAGAAAGCATCTCCTGCAGTGGTGCATTTTATATAATTTTATATGAATCCAAATCATTAGTCATTGTGCAAATCGATGTGTTGCATTATGCAGCACCACATACACATCCAAATTGTCTTTCTTTAAATGAACATGTTTCTTGTGCTAGGATTTAAGATCTCCCAATGGCGCACATGTTATAACTTTTTTCTTTTACTTGTAATAAAGGTGAACAAAATAAATTTGTAATGCTGTTTCTCAGCCCTCTTCCTCTGGGAAAACAAAAATGAAACAATTAAATGAATTAAATAAAGTGACTGGCCTGACCATTGAATTGTAAATACTACTTTAGATGGTTATCAGTTTCTCAGAGTATGGATAAGTACACTGGAAACATTTAACACTAGTGGACTTGGCCATGCCCAACAACAGCAGCAGGATCCTAGTTGTGGGTTGTGCTGGCCTGGATAACAATTTCTCTCATTCACACCAGGACTGCAGGGAGTAGGGGACATGATCAGCTACAACTCCTGCATTCTCACCAGTAAAAACAGCATTGCACTCTGGACTCACTCCATGGTTGAATTATCTCCTACAGCAACTTGAGTGCACAGAAGTAGTAAGATCCTCATATTTATTGCATTCTGTGGAAGTGGATCAAAGGTATAATGCCTTGGAAGGTAGGAGGGTAAGCAGTGGCAGAGGAAAACTTTTTAGTACTTCAATTCGTCATGTTCAGATGTAAAGCTTGGCATTAAACAACAGTCTGAACTCCAAGGTTTTTGTATGATCTTGAAAGCAGTGATAGTTCAGCATACTTGTCAATTCCTTCGAGCAGACATGCTGCTGACTTAATTGTTCTGTTCTCTTGAGCTTCAATATCACTCAAATGGAAGTCTCCTAACCACACGTCCATTGAGCCTCTTCTTTCAAAATTAAGTAATGGCAGTTCAAATGTACTTTATTAGCTGTAAAGTGCTTTGGGATTTCCAAAAGTTGTGACAGGCATCATAGAAATGCTGTTTCTAAATGTAATGACGCATGTAGATGAGTCTGTGGGGCTGGAATGTCTCCCGACAAAGTGGACATTCTGCCTGAAAATAAATTGAAAACAAATTAACTGTTGGTCTTCCAGAAATAGAGGGGAATTATTAATACAATACCTCAGACCAGCTCAAGGCTCTTCACATATGTTGCTTGGCTATGTCACAGGAAGTTAGAAAGATGATGGCCAGAAAGTATTTTGCTATAAATTGGACAGTTTTTCTCCTTTCCCTGGATGTGTATGAATCAGTGCCCACACCAATCCTACAAATGAGATATCTGCCCTCCTCAATCTCTGGATTCTTGTACCAATGGAGTGGCACGGTGGCTCAGTGGTCGGCACTGCTGCCTCACAGCACCAGGGACCTGGGTTCGATTCCACCCTCAGGTGAGTGTCTGTGCGGGTTTCCTCAAGGTGCTCCGGTTTCCTCCCACAGTTCAAAGATGTGCAGGTAAGATGGATTGGCCATGCTAAATTTCCCGTAGTGTCCTGGTATACACAGTTTACAAGGATAGGGTAAGGGAGTGGAATGCTCTTCGGAGGGTCAGTGTGGACTCAATGGGCCGAATGGGTTTTACAGGGATTCTATGAGGTCTGAATTTCATTAATCTACTACCAGCAGCCACGCCTTCAGCTGCTCACAAACCCCCACCCCGAAACCTCTGGCTCTCTCCTTTAAGATATTATTTAAACTCTGTTGCTATGACCAGGCTTTTCGCCGCCTGGGTTAATATCTTTTTTAATATGGCTCAACGGAAATGTTGTTGGATAAAGCTCCTGCAATGCACCCTTGGATGTTTTATTCTATTAATGATGCTATATAAATGCAATTTGTTGTCATCTTACCTTTGTATTGCACCATTCTGTGATGCATTCCCAGCAGAAGAGGTGGCCGCATGGTGTGGCTGTTGAGTGTCTACGTTCTTCCAAACAAAGTATACACTTGGAACTGCGGGCTGAATGGTCCTGAGAGAGGTTTCTATAAAGTAATGCTTCCATAAGTTGCTAATCTGGTTCTGTTCATATTTTCATCTAGTATTTAAAAACAATATTTCTTCTGTGTCCACTTTGTCAAATTCTTTGATACATGTTTATAATGATCATTACCTATGTAAACCTGTCACACTAATTGCACCTTCCCTCCAGGAATTGGTCAACACAATGCATGATTTCAAAAGTTGAGGTATGAATCCTCTCTGTTCCCAGGCCGTGTTGTTGATTCTCTCCCTTTCTAACCCAGGATGTTATGGTCAATTAGACGTTAACTGTGGCTCAGGGTAGCACTTGCCACCTAGACAGCTGTTTGTAAGTTCCAGTCTGGCTGCAGAAATGTGATCATTTTAAGTTGCCACTCTAGTTTATTACTAGTATTGAGGAGTACAGCAATGTCAGGAATGCCACCTTTTGAACAAGATTTGTGTACTCTCTCTCGTGGATGTAAACGATTCATTTGCATTGCTTGGACAAAATGCAGGGGACTTATCCTTGATATTACAGAAAATTTTAATCCTATATGTTATTTTGTTATTGCTGTTTTTGGGACTGTGTGTGTTCAGTCACTGTCAGGTTTCCTACATTAGAATAATAACTTAAAAGAACCTCATTAGCTACAAAAAGTGGGATAGCCTGTGGTTCTTAAGGTGCTGTTTAAATCCAAATATTTCCTTTAATTGTAATACCCCAACTACCATCAGCTCACTCCACATTGACCACGAATTAAACATGCTTACTTTTGGATGTAACACTCAGTACTGTATGAGGCAGATCATTTTAACAGAGTATTAATATTAATAAGTGAAGATTTTGGACTCCTTTCTCTAACTGTAATAAGTACAGTAATTGGAATTTTGATCATTATATAATGAGGGTGTTTCACCCGTACCTCGAGTAGGGAAGGTTGCGATGGAGTTTCCACTCTTGCCGGGCACGCTGCCTTTGCCGGTAGCTGTTAACCTGCGTGGCAACAGTCAGGGCTAGCTGCAGCAGAGAAATCTTCCCCAGCAATTCGTAACTCCGCCGGAGTCCAGCATTGTCACTGAATAAACCACGTACACACAGCTACACAGCAGGAAAAACAACAGGAGGAACTATCAGCAAACTATTCAGTGGAATATCAGCACTGAAACAGACACAGACCACACTGATCTTTAGACTTTGGGGCCTATAACATACACATACTTTCCCAGAGGCTAGTCTTCCTTCAGATGTACACAAGGTCCCTTACTTTCTACAATGTAGAGTTGCTGCGGTCTATCATATAGTGTAGTAATTCACCTATTTAACTACTGTTTCTAAAGAGCTTACGTAAGTGATCCTGGTGAATCTTTTAGCTATGTGGTAGAAAGCTCCGTTGAGGTAGAAGATGCCAAGGTGTAGACGGTGAAGAAAGGAGATCGCCTGTCGCAGGATATAGGTAGTCTGCAGCAACACTTTTTTCTGCTGCTCGGTCAGGGCAGTGATTGCTGCCTGCAGCCAGTGCAAGACTCCTGGCCTGACGCGTGTGTGATCTGGTGCCCAGGATCTCTCACTCTCTCCCTGGAGATTCTGCTCCAGACGGTTCAGTCCTCGATCCAGCAGATAAGGAATGCAGATGTGAAGGACAACGAGCACCGCCCGTCTGGCAGAGGATGGCACCCGCTGCCCACTGGAGTCCACCTGAATGATGTTAACATACTCCTCACCTAACGTCTGGTAACCTGCACAGTCAAGCATCAGAATGGAAACTCGATTACTACCAGAAACTTGCATTTGTATAACATCTGCAAGTCAGGAAAAGTCCAAATAGTCACAATAGTGTAACGAATTAATTTTGAAAATTGGAATGATGGTTGGACATGTTAAGAACTTCCTAATTGAAAGGGGATCACACCCCATCCACCCATTATCTTTACACAGCAGAACAGGCTTGAGGGACAAAACAGCCCCAGTCTGTTCCCACGCTCCTTTCAACTCTCACCTCAATCCATACCAGGCATTTTGTTTGTTTACCATTACACCTGGCACAGCTTAAGATCAGCACAAAGTGGCGATCAAATCAGGGATATAAAGGGTGTAGCTATCTCATAACAGTGTCCTCCATCACAGTCTAATGGAAACAGCATGATCTCCTATATGACAAAGACTCCAAGCCACAGATTTGTAATTTGGCTTGAGACAGAGGCTGGAAATGTTAATAAGAGGATTGGTCTTGAATTTCCAGGCTGGATAGAAGGTGGTTGATGAAATCATAGTGTGCCAGTGTCACAAACACAGGCTGTAAGAGAGATGACCGAGGAAAGGGGAGAGTTAATTGTTAGGAAGAGGGAGAAAACATGGACACATACTGGCAGAAATTGAAAGGTAGTCAAACAACAAATAAAAGCACGCAAAAAAAAGGGCAACATGGAGCAGATAGAGCTGTCTGCTAGACAGATTGAAGTGGTAAACAGAGACTTAATGAGGCTAGATCTGCTGACAAAAGGAATCAAAGTAGTGTCCAGTAATAATGGTGCCTACCTGCAAAGGTTGTTAAAAAAAAGTAGGTCAGGTCTGCCAGTAACTCAATCTCCTTCTTCCATTCCAGCCATCGCTTAGCACCTGTAGGTAAACAGACAAATAGTTCTATATCTGACTACTTACAGGAGAGTAAGTAAGGTGGAAGGGAGGGAGTGGAAGGCAAATTTCATCCTTTGCTCAGACCCAGGAATTAGTGGGCACACAACAAAATTATTAAAAGTGTCTTCACAGAAAAGTTCAAACACAGGTCGTCTAAAATACAACCAAGGGATCACAACTGGATGAAACAAATCCCCAACAATTCAGCTCAAAGCTGTATGCTCTAGTGTCCTTTGTTTCTCACTTGTTGGCTTGTTTGAACTTTGTGAGCCTTGTTAAAAGTAAAAACGCTTTGTTACTGATGCCAGTGGATGAATCTTAATCCAGGGCACTTTCAGATAAGATGTACGAAAAGGAAATAAGTTTTATAGACATTAAGTTCAAATGTTCTGGCTAGGTTGAAGCCTTGTGTGTCAGACAACCCCAGCCCCTTGATGCAGAGATGCATAGTCTCACCAGCAAAGATCTGGAAAATGTCGTTAGCACAGCTCCGCAGAGAGTTCAGGTAGTACTCATCCTTCTGGTTTGAGCGGATCAGTTGAGGCTGGAGCACAGGTAAGGGCATTGCAAACGCTGCTGTAAAAGGAACATGACCATTAACTGACCAGCATTGCTGTATCCTGGCATGCTGCACTCAAATTCACATTAGTATCACTACTCCCTGAGACTAAGCATGCCTCCCCCAGACTCACCGTCCTCCCCTAGTCTCACTGTCTCCCCCACACTGTGCTCCCCTCTCCCCCACTGCCCTGCTCTTGCCATTCCTCCTTCTATATTCCCTGCTCCCTCAGCCCTTCCCTTTACCCCACTCTCTCACCTTCCTTCTCCTCATCCCCCAACCCCCCCCACCTCTTCTTCCCCTCCTCCCGCCCCCCACCTCCTCCTCCCCTATACCCTTTCCCCCTCCCCCATACCCTTCCCCCCTCCCCCATACCCTTCCCCCCTCCCCCATACCCTTCCCTCACACGACCATACCCTTTCTCCTCCCCTCCACTCCACCCCACCTCCTCTCTCCCCCCAACCCCCTCCTCCTCTCTCCCCCGCCCCTTTCTCTTTAGCGGGACTGAGAGGTTGGGGGCACCTGCTATGGGGCTGACACGGGGGCGTTGGGACGAATGGCCTCAGCGGCAGGACGATCCGGTTACTCCCGGCCTTGGGGCCCGGGTGTGGGGGAGGGGGGAGTACTAGGCCCCGGCAGCGATTACCCTCGGCCCGCGAGCTCCGGGGCAAACACCGGGACCGGCCAAGCCGCTGTGAGCCTGCGCCGAGGCCTGTGCTCATTGCGGGCATCCGGAAACACCGCCACCTGGTGCCCGGAGGACAAACCCAACCAATAGTCACCCCGGGAGGAAACATCAGAAATTGTAACAGTAATCACTGGAAAAGCTCAGTGTTTGTAAGGAAGGGTCACTCCCCCAGAGATGCTGCCAGACCTGCTGAGCTTTTCTGTTTTTGTTTCTGATTTACAGCATCCGCAGTTCTTTTGGTTTTTAAACCAATAAGAAACCCTGCGAATAATTAATTAGGAACCCAGACAATGATCAGCTCACAAACTCGGTTAATAATCAGTCCCAAAATATCAATAATAAACCGGATCAATAATCAACCTGAGAAAACCAGTCAATAATCAATAAGAAATCCAGTCATTGTGATCAGCTGGCAAATCAATTCAATAATCAATAAGAAACGCGGCCATTGATCAGCTGACAAATCAGTTCAATAATCAATAAGAAACGCGGCCATTGATCAGCTCACAAATCAGTTCAATAATCAATAAGAAACGCGGCCATTGATCAGCTGACAAATCAGTTCAATAATCAATAAGAAACGCGGCCATTGATCAGCTCACAGAACTGGTCAATGATCAGCTCCTTTAAACAAAGATGGCGTCTGTCAGCTTTCTGACTTTTGTTTTTGGCATCTCAGCAGGCCATTCGCTGAGCCACAGCTCTTTCACCACAAGCAGCCCTGGAGAAGGTGGGGTTCTCAAACCAGGGTTTGGTCATTTTTCCCACCTGCTTTCGTCGATCTGCTGCAGGTGGTTTATGCTGTCAGTATCTGACTGGGTTGCAGCTTTTTTTTGAGGAGCTGGCACAAGGTGCAGATTTTTATGGAAAGCACTTCTCATTCATCAATGTCAATTTGTCCCATTCCAACCTGGTCTTCAGAGTGTCCATAGAATCCCTACACAGTGTGGAAATAGGCCATTCAGCCCAACAAGTCAACACCAACTCTCCAAAGAGCATCCCACCCAGACTCACCCTCCTACCCTAGCCTAACCCCAGCCTGCACATCTCTGGACAATATGGGTAATTTAGCATGGCCGATCCACCTAACCTGCACATCCTTAAACTGTGGGAGGAAATCGGAGCACTCAGCAGAAACCCACACAGACACAGAATGTGTAAACTCCACACAGACAGTCGCCTGAGGTTGGAATTGAACCCAAGTCCCTGGTGCACTGAGGCAGCAGTGCTAACCACTGAGCCACTGTGCTGCCATGTCCTTTGAATATCTTCTCTGTCCTTGAGATTGAGTCTCATCTTTAAATTGTGAGAAGAGAATCTGCATTGTGATGGATTATTTGACACATGGAGGAGTGTCCAGACTGTCAAGCTGCTTATGGATGAGAACAGGTTCGATGCTGATGGAATTGGCTTCAGTGAGGAATGCCTGTCTTCTCACTTGACTCTGAGAATCTTGCAGAGACTCAACGGGTGGAAAATTCTCCAGCACCTGGTGGTGTCTTTGATAGAACGCCTTTGTTCCACTGCCATTTGGAGAATTGTGATAACAGTATTGTTGACTAAAGCCTTTGTCTTTGTATGGGGATGGGTTTTGCTGAAGACCTGATGCACAATATCTGGAAAGCTACACTGGCATAACTGATACTGTGCTGAAGTTTAATTATAGCAGCAATGTTTTGCCAAAGGCAGATGCTCAGATATAGAGTGCTCAATGATTTCTAAAATCTCCCTTCAAGAACAGGAGTTGGAGATATAGGTTCTTGTGCAGGAGAGTGACGATGAAAGATTTTAATCTTGCTGATGTTGAGTAAGAGACCAATCATATTGTGACAGAGTTGAAGAGGATGAGGGTGGTCTGAATGCCCCTTACAGAGTAGGCCACAATGTGTACTCATCGGCATGTTGTAGGCCATGGATGTGCTGGAGGGTCACCTTAGACTTGACACACAGCCAGTTGTTGTTGAAAAGTTTCTCATTAATTCAAGAACTCAACTATGATCCCAGCGAACATTGGTCAGAAATGATTTCCATCACCAGGCTGGGGGAGATGGGTTTTCTGAAGAAGGGTCTAGGCCCGAAACGTCAGCCTTCCTGCTCCTCTGCTGCTGCTTGGCCTGCTGTGTTCATCCAGCTCGACACCTTGTTATCTGGGGGAGATGGTGATTAGAATTAGCACATTAGCATAGCAGTACATGATGCCTGACTGGATACGAAATAACTTCATCATCAATCCAATGCAAAGGACAGTTACTGTTGTACTGTCATGCAACAATCACAGAAGAGTAACAATTCTTTTCTGAACATTCATGTCTTCAGAAGTCTTTCCGTAGGGGCTTGGCAGCTGATGGAGTCAAAGACCTTTGATAGAACATTTAAGGCCGTGTAGCGCTGTTTGCTTCATTTTAGACACTTTTCTTGAATTTACTCAATGACAAAGATCAGACCTGTGGTTCCACTAGATGGTCAGAAACCACGCCGGGTCTCTGGAAGAATGTCTTTGCTGTGAGGTAAGAGGTCATTCTGCAGGATTCATGTGACAATCTTCTCCACAATGGTCACAAGGAATGTATCTCTAAACTTCCCACAGACTAATTTATGATTCTTCTTAAAATGTGAAACAGTGATGGCATTTCAGAAGAACAACCTCTTCCTGGATTTTTGCAAAAATATCTGAGAGTTTGACTAAAAGTTCATGATTACAGTTATAAAATGTTACCTATATAGAATCATAGAACCCTGCAGGAGTGTTGTCCACACCACACACCTTTTTATTCTTCATCTACTGGAGGCGTAACTTCCTCTAGGCCACCAAGTCCATGCAGGGATCAAAAACAAACAGTCCCTTCCTCTTCTGAGTTCAATACAGGAATATTCTTCTCAAAAAATGACAGAGACCATTGGAAGGAGTATCGTCAGAAATTTCTTAACCGGGAGTCAATAATAGTGTCAAACAAAACACGTGACTGCCAGATACATCAAAGTTGCATATACTATCAACACTTGCTGAGATACAACAGGCTATGCAAAGGAGAGGACAAGCACTTAGATTTAGACTCCCTACAGTGTGGGATCAGACCCTTTGGCCCAACAAGTCCACTCCAACTCTCAGAGCATCCCACCCAGACCCATCCCCCTGTAACCCACCTAATCTACGCATCCCTGAACACTATGAGCCATCCACCCAGCCTGCACATCTTTGGACAGTGGGAGGAAACCCACACAGACACAGGGAGAATGTGCAAACTCCACACACGGTCACCCAAGAGTGGAATTGAACCTCAGGCCCCTGGTGCTGTGAGGCAGCTGTGCTAACCACTGAGCCACCGTGCCACCATTCACATTTTAAGGAAGTCACGAAGGCTTTTACAGCCAGTGATGTATTTTTGAAGTGTCATCATGACTGTCATTGAGGAAATGCAGCATCCAAGCTCAGAGAAACAGAGATAGTAGAAACTGCAGATGCTGGAGAATCCGAGACAACAAGGTGCAGAGCTGGATAAACACAGCAGGCCAAGCAGCACCATAGGAGCAGAAAGGCTGATGTTTCGGGCCTAGAAGGGTCTAGGCCCAAAACGTCAGC